GTCAAACCCTTTGTTAATTTTTACATTTTATTGTGTATTCTGGACGTTAGGCCTTATGCAGATGTATGACTTGCAAATATTTTCCCCCATTCAGCAGACTGCCTTTCATCATTTGTTGTGTCCTGTGTGTCCTGTGTTTGACACAGTCCAGTTTACTTCTCCTTTGTTGCCTGTGCCTCTGTGCCAAAATCCAGTGTCATTAAGTTTTTAGTTTCAGTCTTTTTGCTCAAGTCTTTATTCCGTTTTACACACACACACACACACACACACACACACACACAGACACACACACACACACATGATTCTGGAGCACTTGCTGTTTTTGCAGAGGCTCCAGATCTTACAGCCAGCTGTGACTCCAGTTCCAGGGGATCTGACACCTTCTTCTGTATGAGGTGCACAGGCTACATGCAGGTAAAACATTCATATACATAAATAAAACTTTAAAAAAATACAAGTAAATGTCATGAACCTCAGAAAGAAACCCTCACATACATGAGCAAATGATTTTTTTTAAACATAGTTGTTAAACAATCAGAAAAGAACAGTCTCTTGAAAAATGGTGCTAGGAAACTCTGCAACCTACCCCCGTGCATGCGTGTGTATGTTAGTGTGTGTGTACACATACATGCACATCAATGGTACACTGTTCTAATTATTCTTAAAATATATGATTTGATGTCAGGAAGCATTATTTTTGTATGTATTCATTCACTCATTCATTTTGATTCTTTCATAAGTGGAATTGTTTTCTTAGGTTTTTTCCCTGAGCTGTTCACTTTAGTATGTAGAAGCAATCCTTTTTTTCTGTTGCTTTTGTAGCTTGCAGCTTTAGTGAATCCATTTCTTGGTTATCATGATTTTCTTATAACTGTCATCTACGAGGAACCTTCTTCCTCTCCCGTGTGGATGTCAGTTGTTGTGTCTGTCCCAGCTGCAGGGCTGCAGCTCCAGTGCTGTGTGCAACACAAGTGACAAAAGCGAGCGCCTCGTCTGGTTCCCAGGTAACAGCGAGGCTTCCGTCCACTGTTGTGAGCTGCGGGCTTTTCACACTTGGACTTTCGTATCTGGGGTAGTTTTCTTATATTTAATACTTTTTCTCATGAAAAAAATATTGACTCTTGTCAAATACTTTTTCAGAATCATCAGAGATAATCATGTGTTTTTCCTTTATTCTGTGAATACGGAATATTAGCATATTAACATTGAATTTTATGTCAAATCATCCTGTTCTGGCAGTAGATTTCACTTGGCCATCTATAATACCCTTAATGTACTGCTGAGTTTGTTTTGCATCAGATTCCATCAGTGATATGGATCTGAGGTTTTCTTCTAATGCCTTCAGTCTGACTGTGGTTTATGAATAATGTTTTCCTGAGAATGGCTTTAGACGTCGTTGTTTGGATATAGCTTGATGTTGTTCTTCAGTGGCTTTAGTATTATTACTAGAAGATGGGTCCCAATCTGGGTGGTGTTAGGAGGTGGTATGGAACATTTAAGAGGTGTGACCTAGGAGGTCCTTAGGTCATTTTGGGAATATACCTTCAGAAAGGACTGAGACCATAGTTTTTATCTGGTTTTCTCTTGAACACATTCCTGCCTCTGCTGTCCTGTATGCCATGAGACCTTCATCAGAGCCAAGCTATTGCTAGATCCATGTTCTCAAATCTGCAGAAATGTGAGCCTAATAAACCACTTTGGGGGCAGGAGAGATGACTCAGCAGTTTAGAGCACTTGCCCTTGCACAGGACCCAGGTTTGTTTTCCAACATCCATATGATGGCTCACAACTATCCAGAGCTCCAGTTCCAGGGGATATGACGCCCTCTTCTGGCCTCCACATGCACCAGGCATATATGTGGTTCACATGCACACACACAGGCATTTGAATATTTTATTTAAAAATAAAAGTTTAAAAATTTTATACGATTGTTATTATTTCTTTCTTCTCTTTCCTCCCTCCAAGTCCTCTTATATACCCCTTCTTGTTCTTTCAAATTCATGGCCTCTTTTCATTAATTGTTGTTGCATATATATATATTTATATATGCATATATACATATCTATTCCTAAACCTGCTCGGTCTGTATAATGTTACTTGTAGATATGGTTTCAGTATCAGACTGGCTATTTGACATTGGATAACTAATTGGTCTAAAAAGTATTTTAAACTAAAAGCAGAACAACTTGTCTCTATAAAATTATGCATCCTCAAGGATTTTGTTGCCGTTAACAAAATATTAATGCAGAGTATTCTGTCTTTTTAACTTCTAGACATTTGTGAGGGACCGGCGTCAGTTATTTATAGATATGTTAGAACTCACCACTGAAGCCGTCTGGTTCTCTGTTCTTTGGTGGAAGTTTGATTGGTGATCCAAACTCCAAAATCTCTGAAATTTTTATTTATTAAGTTTTGATGAATTGAGATTACAGGGATTAATTTCATCAAGGTTATACAATGTTATATTCATACAATCCTTTTTATTTCTCTAAAGTCAGCTGCAGTGGCCCCTCTGGTTTCTGGTTTTACTCACGTCAGTTTTACAGTTTTGTTTTTTTTTTCTTTTTTCTTTTTGCCAGTGTTCCTAAAGGTTTGTTGATAATCACAGGAGCAAACTTTGTAAATATGTTTGTCTGTTCTATTGATTCACTTACATGTGCTCTCAAATTTATCATTTCCATTTCTGCCAGCTCCAGCTTGTTTCTTTCCCCACTATGAAAAGTTAGGTTGATTTGAGATCATTCTTCAATCTTCAGGCTGTGACCATCCTGCGTATGAATGTCACAGTATGTTGGTGCTTGAAGAGATTTTCTAATACTCTTTGAAAATTGAGTAGTTTGAATTTATTACATTTTGGTTCTTTTTTAAAAAATTATTTATGTATTTTGTGTGTGGGTGCACTTGCATGCCAGAAGAGGGCATCAGATCCCATTATAGATGGTTGTGAGTCACCATTAGTTGCCAGGAACTGAACTCAGTACCTTGAGAAGAGCAGCCAGTGCTTTTAACCACTGAACCATCTCTTTAGTCCCTATATTTTGGTTCTTGAATGTCCCTGAAAGCTTATGTTGAAGGCTTGTTTAGTCCTGTGTCTGTACTACTGGGAGGTGGTAAAACCTTTCGGAGATGGTCCCAGGCAGAAGGTCATTGGGGTGTACTTGTGGCTGGAATACTGGGAACTGAGCCCTTTCCTCTCTTTGCTTTCCTGCTTCTTTGAAGTCCAGTGTTGTCCTCTGCTGTGTGCTTTCACCGTGACATAACCAAAGTCATCTGGGCCAACAAATGTGGAAAGTGCTGAAGCTGAGCAGAGCAAGCCCCCCTCAAGTTGGGGGCATTTTGTTCCACGGCCAGGAAGCTGACTCCGTTTGTACCTAGTTCATACAGATTTAATTTCTAGCTTCAGCCACTGTTACAGAAGACACTTTATGATTTCAGTCTTCTTGAACTTAAGATTTTTATGGTCTACCATGATTTGTTCTGGAAAATGACCTGGTTGCATTTGAGAAAACTATATTTATTCCTCTATTGTTGGGAGGTGTATCTCAGTTCCAATTCATCTGTCCCCCATTTTCTTATTGATCTGTTTAGTGACTAACATGACTTAAATTAAGATTCTGAAGTTTCTGCTTTTTTAAAAATCTGTTCATGTTTGCTTCTTAGGTTTAGGCATGCTTATATTTGATGCACCTGTCACAACTTAGAGAACGGACCCTTTTGTCAATATGTTATGTTCTTGCCTCTTCCTAATTCTGACTGAGGAATGGTTCTACAGACATGAGATAAAAATAGGCTAATTTCTTTTGGCTACTATTTCAGTGGATTATCTTCCTCCATCCATGGTACATGTCTTTAGAGCTAGTCAGTTACCTGCAGGCAGAATATAGTCAGGTGCTGTTCTATTTTATTCCATCTTTTCCAACTTGTGCATTTCTAGTTGTCCAGCCCCTATAGTTAATTACAGATAAGGACAGGCTTTTTACCGACATTTTGCTGTTTACTCAATGTTTTGGTCTCGTATCATTTACCTAGTTTTTCTGTTTGCCTCTCATTTGTTTTATAGCGATTTTGTCATTGGTAATGTTTTATGATCTAGCTGTAAAGTTAAAGGAATCTATTTTAAGCAGTAAATTAACCTCATCATTTGCAAACTACACTCTTACAGTTCTGCTTCCCCTTTGATGTCTCCCTTCACTCAGATGTACAGTAGACTCGTCCGCCTGTGGTACTGTGGATTGTACCCATGGAGTTTCTACCTGCTTGAGTGTGGCTTCTGCTGCCTTCTTGGTTTCTAGAATTCACAGTGACTGCTTCAGTGCTGGAATGTTGGCCTGGAGCTTCCTCACTGGCCGTATTGATAACATCACTATTAGACTTTCTCTTTACAGCTGTTTCTACTCACCATACTGTTTTCTAGTATCCCTTGTTTTCTCCCTTTAAACAAATGTGTATGTAGAGTCCTAGCTCCTTCTGGCGTTGTACTCCTTACTGCAAGTACAGATCTCCTGGACCTAGTGACTTCTGCTGGCCTGTTTTACTGAGATTATGGGTTTGCTGCCCTTGCCATTGCTGTAGATGGGTTCTCTGCTCAGCTCTTTAGAATAAGTCTTTCACAGGCTCCTGGAACTCTCACCCTGGATGTGATACTTGTCCGCCAGTGGTTTAAGGAAAATGTATGTGCAGACTTTGAGGCTCTTTCTTGGATTTCCCATCTGAAGTCTGTAGTATCTTGTCAGTCCTGATCTCTGTCTTCAGCCCCATAGGACTCCACTGGAAAGTCCTGTCGAAAGCTAGTTTAATATGTAGCTCTTACCTCAGAGGGTCATACCATATTCAGATTCGGCTCCTAAAAATTCTCATGTATTTTTAAGGTTTGCAAGTTTGGATTCCTTAGAATTCAAAGTCACTTTTTAAAAGACATTTTGAAAAAAAAATTTAAGAAGGTAGCTGTGGTTATTTAATAAAAAACAATCTTATATTTCAACTAAAATTTTCTTTTGTAGGATATTGCAAATGAGGACCACCAAAAAATTGAAGTGTTAAAATCAGAAAACAAGAAGTTAGAAAGACAAAAAGGAGAATTATTGATAGGGTTCAAGAAACAATTGAAATTAATTGATATTTTGAAAAGGCAGAAGGTAAGTCTAACAGCAGAAGCTATGTGGATATGCTGCAGACCATTCTGCTATAAAGCTTAGGGTTGCTTTGTTTGGAATATTGCACATAAAACTGTACCTAAAGATGCATTATATACATGTAAAGTCACATGTGTGTAATACACTGTATGCACATAAAGTCACATGTGTGTAATACACTATATATAAAATCACATATGTGTAATATACTGAGCTTCGCTGGTTTTAAAGAAATGTATATCTTAATATTATATATATATGGTCCTTCCCAACTTCATAAAGTATCATACAGGAGAATGATTCATTTTAGTGGATTATTTTCCTTTTCAAACTTTGAGCAGTAATTCCAAAGCACACTGTACCGTTCTTGAAATGTGACAAAAGATAATTCACACTTTATTTCAAAGATCAGGTAAAATAATAGTGAATTATTCTTTTAACAGTAATTTGGTCTTGAGTGTAATGCCCATTTAAAATGTTACAACTTGGCATCAGATGTGGTGGTACATGCCTTTAATCCCAGCAAAGGCAGGTGGATCTCTGAGTTTGAGGCCAGCCTGGTTTACAGAGTTCCAGGACAGCCAGAGCTGTTACACAGAGAAACCCTGTCTCAAAAAACCAAACCAACCAAACAAACAAAAACTTGCATAATAAGAGTATGTATTCCAACAATGGGGCTTGTTTATTGATAGCATAAGTTTCCTGTTGTGTGGCTTTCTCTGAATCAGACATTGATTTTTTTTTTTAAACAGATGCACATTGAAGCTGCCAAGATGCTGTCTTTCAGTGAGGAAGAGTTTATGAAGGCTCTCGAGTGGGGTAGTTCATGAGTGAGCGACTTCAACGTGATGCTTGTTTGTGATCATTTATCCAACATCGAATTGTAATGCTTCTTTGCTGTTCATAAGCGATGAAATGTGTGTGAAATAAACAGTGCAGGGATCAGCCTGCTGAAATAAACCGTGTTTGGGAGGACATTCTAGGCAAAGCCAGACTACACTACTGGCCTTACTTCCTTTTTCTTTGATAGTTGTAACATAAAGAAGCAAGACTTTGACTTTTAATTCTTTTTTTATAACCCACTAGACGCGGCATAGGACAGAAGAAGATGGCAGGCCAAGACCCCAGAGATACTCCACCTCAGCTAGATGGTTGCCTGTTACCTGAGGCTACTGCATTCAAACAGCAGTGATGTCTCGCAGTGACCCGTGTTCAGTAATTCAGAGACAGTGTGAAAAGAGGGCTGGGTAACACCTAGGTTAAAAGTGAGAGCTCCTGGTTACAGCAAAAGAAAACTTTGTTGAAGACAGCCGGACAGTTTACCCTTCCTCTAGCACAGCACAGAGATACACAGAAAGACAGTTAGGGAAAAGAAACTTCATTGGTCTCCAGCACTGGGCCCATGACAGTAAAACTTAGCAGATTCTTGGCCCTAGACCAGTAAATATGCCTGCCCTGGTGCTAAAATAGAACCTATGGTTCCTGCAAGATAGACCAAAGTTCCAACCCATATCCCGTCTGGCCGACTGCAGCAGCCTTGCGTTGTGTATGAATTTAGGACCCTCCATAGCTGGCCTCAGCTGTGTACCCTGCGAGCTGCCAACCCCATCCCGGGTGCTGTAGCAGCATAGATGGCCGTGGTGTAATCCACACTGAACTAGCATGCTGACCTTGGGCTTGAGGCACCCTGTAGTGCTGCAGGGGCTGCAGTGAAGTGAGATCGAGACAAGAGCATTTGGACACTCTAGGCCAAAGCCAGACTGCAAAGCCTGAAGGAAGGGCCTGCTTTCCCAGTGCATGGGTGGTGATGTCAGCCCATGAGGATTAAAGTGGGGGGAAGACATCACCAAATAAACTAAGATGCCAGAGACTGACCCCAAGATGATGGACATACACAAACTGTCTGATGATTCAAATGAGCTACTTTAAAAGAGATTTGACTTTTTATTTAAAAATGAAAATTCGGTGAACAAAATGAAAATGCAGTAAAGCAAATGTTAGCAGAAGGATCTGTCACCCTGGAGATGGGGAATACAGTCAGGAGAGGAAGGAGGAGTCCAGCTCACAAGTAAACACAGGAGAAGCTGGCACATAAAGGGGTAGGAGAAAAAGGGTGAGCGATGAAAGAAACAACACTTTCTCAATTTGAGCATAAAATGTTCAGGACAGGAAGATCAGAGGCCTCAAATGATTTAATCCAAGACCAACCCATGGCATAGTATCAGCCTGTTAAAGACAGACAACACATCCTAAAAGGATCCCATTTAAAGGAGTTGGACACCAGGCAGCTCATGTCTCTCAGAAACCTAGAAGGCAGTAAGAGGATGCAGTGATAAATTCAAAGCTCTGAATGACAAAACCACAACACCTGCCAAGAATAGTGACCCCAGCTCAGTTGTCCTCCAGAGATGGAAAAGTAACATCTTCTCAAACCAGCCCGTGAATTCATCACCACCAGACCTGCCTTACCAGAAACATCAAGGGCTCCACCAGCTGAAAGAAGGGGATGCTGATGGTCAACATGGATAAGTTCAATTCAGTCAAAATGAGAGCATGTGAACACTGACTGAGGCATGAAAATCACTCCCATCTTTATAAGGTGGAAGTGTTTTTTTAAAAAGTGGCAACGGTCTGGTCAAGGGTATACAATTTGAAAGATGTAATTGTGAACTCCGCACAAAACAGGGTGCAGAAGAGACATATGCTGCTTCCTTGTAATCAAAGTTACCAGAATAAAATAACAAGAACTTGTTCGACATCCATGGGTAAAAAGCAATGGTTAAACATACTAGAGAAAAGCTCTAAACTGTGAAGTAAGAAGAAAAGATTCAGCAAAGCAGTGACTCTCAGTACTGTATGAGCGGATTAAGTTCTCCAATTAAAGAACCTGACAGAGGTAGGGTTAGTCAGGGTCTCTATTGCTTTGATAAAACACCATGGCCAAAAAGCAAGTTAGGGAAGGAAAAGGTTAATCGGCTTACACTTCCACAGTGCTGTCCATCAGTGAAGAAGTCTGGACAGGAATTCAAACAGGGCAAGAACCTGGCAGCAGGAGCTGAGGCAGAGGCCATGAAGGGGGGCTGCTTATTGGCGTGTTCAGCCTGCTTTCTTATAGAACTTAGGACCAGCCCAGGGATGGCACCACTCTCTATGGGCCGGACCCTCCTCCATCAATCACTAATTAAGAAACTGGCCTACAGCTGGGGCTAATGGAGGCATTTTCTCAACTGAGGTTCCTTCCTCTCTGATGACTCTAGCTGGTGTCAGGTTGACACACAAAGCCAGCTAGTCCATAGAGTTAACTAAACAAATTCATGATGCCTCTAAAAGACTCATTTAACAGAACAGACACTGAATGTGGAGAGATGGCAAACATATAGTCTATGAAAATGGGAACTGCCAGGAGCAATGACACACACCTTTAATCCCAGCACTCGGTAAGTAGAGGCAGATGGATCTCAAGAGTTCGAGTCCAGCCTGGTTGACTAAGTGAGTTCAAGGACAGCTAGGGATACTCAGAGAAACCCTGTCTCAAAAAACTAAAAATAAAAAAAAAAAACAAAACAGGAACCAAGAGAGAATGAGTACTTAAAATAGGTATTATGTCAAAAGCTATAAAAAGAGGCAAAGAAAACCTTACATAATGGTAAAAGGATTAAGTCATCAACAGTAACAGTGGTGAGCATGTATCTACCAACAACAGAACTAAAATACACAGACATCTGCAAAAAGGAAAGACATACTGCAATATTACAATGGTAGAACACAGTTATTAACCCATATCCAACAATAGAGCAGACAGAGAAATCAAAAGAAACACTGAACTTAGCTGTGGCCCAGTTAAAGAGTACCTGCCTGGATGCACAAAGCTCCGAGTTCAATCTCCAGCACCCTCATAAGTTTGGTAGTCCACACCCGTGATCCCATCAGCAAGAAACAGACACAAGAAGGTAAGAAGTTCAGATCATCCTCAGGCAAAGAGCAAGTTCAAGGCCAGCCTGGGATACACAACACTTTGTGTCCAAGAAACCACAAAGAAACACACTGAACTTAATTTATACTTTAGACTAAATGAGCCTAAAAAGACACAAAACACTCTCTCCAACAGCATGATACATACCTTCTCCATTGTATAGAACATTCTCCAGAACAGACTACGTGTCTTAACAAATTTAAGAAGACAAAACATTGTACCATGAATCTTTGATGGTATAAAAGAATAGACAAATAAGAGGAACTTCAAAACTTTACAAACACATGCAAATTACGTGCCGTGTTTCCAAATAACCAGTGGGCTCATGAGAATAAAGCAAATTTAAAACTTTTTACACAAAATGGGAATGCAACAAAATGCCTATATAAGAAGAAAGTGTCACCTTAGCACTGCAGAAATGCCCAAGTAATGCACTGAAGCCAAATCCAGTCTGGTCAGTGCAAGAAAAACAGGAAAGATCAAAGAAGAAATAAATTACAAAAATAATAGAGGTCAAGTAGCCCTAGCCTGGGTCTGGAGAATCTAGTTGTTTTGTCACTGATTTGATACTATAGGTGTAAAATACAAAATCTGACTTCGCGTGACAGGTTGTAGGCAAAACACTGGTTAACCAAAAGTCATGTGTAAAATTACCTCCAGGCTATGAGTATAAGGTACATTATTAGACATAAAGGCCAGTGGAGTAGTCCAGTAGAAAGGGCACCTGCCACCAAACCTGACACCTTGATTCAGTGGGACCTGATCCTGGTGGAAAGAGAACCAACTCCTGCAAACTGTCCTCTGACTCCCAAATGCAACCATAACAAGCTTAGGTCACACCCATACTCACAAATAACACAAAGATTAAGGATTAAAGACTTTACTTTCTAAAATAAATAAATAAAAGGATTAATGCTAGCTGGCCATGGTGGTGTGTGCCTGAAACTCTGGCGTCCAGGAGGCTGAGGAACTCAGCAGTGTGCTGCTAAACAGAGCCAATGTGTGCGTTGTGAGTTACTGTCTCAGAGTTAGGTCTCATTCTCAAGACAGCATGTGTATTTTAAATATTCAAAAATCAACTACAACAAAATATCCCAACTTCTATGCCAAGCAATTGCAGATACAGCATATACTCAACCCACATGAAACAGTTGGCTGTCAAACAAAGTAACCTTTAGTCACAAAGGGAAAATGCCTAATTAGAGATGAAGAAAGGGACACGCCCATTGTACCATATACAAAGGATCATTAGAGTGTTATAAATTTAAATTATCTATGAATAATTGGGGTTACACAGAATAAATTAACTTCTGGAGGTATACAACCTAGCAAGAATTAACTGTGAAGAGACAGAAAATCTGAGCAGACCCATGGTGAGAAAGAGGTCAAGGAGCTCAAATTGATAAAAGAAAGTCCCATTGGAAGCCAAAGAGGAGGCTCAGTGGTCAAGTGTTCCTGATATTGCAGAGGACCTAAGTTCAGTTCCCAGCACCCACATGGCAGCTCACAAACACCTATGTAACACCAATTCCAGGGACTCGAGGCCCTTTTCTGACCTCTACGGAGTCCTGTACAAACATGGTACACAGATACACACACATAAAATAAAAATACATTAAAAAGAATACTAAAAAAAAGTCTTCTCGAAGAAAAACCCAGGACTTGATGGCTTCACTGTTGACTTCTACCAAACATTTGGAAGACTCATTGACATAAGACATTTCCAAATTTGAGTTTTATCTCCCAGATTCCAAAATCATGCAAGGGCAACAAACAAACAAAATCAAACCAACAACTTCCCACATTCCAATATCCCTGATCAACTCAGATGCAGAAATCCTCACCCTGACCCCAGAAAGCAACTCCAACAGTGCATAAGAAGCTCGCTCACCATGATGAAGTGGGCTCATCCTAGATGAGTCAACATGCAAATCAATAAACATGTCATGTTGACAGAATAAAAGTTTGTGAATTCAGTAGAGCAGAA